GATATATTCTTCTCTTAATCGTGAGTTATTTAAAAATAAACTTGGTTATTTTCTAAGATATGTTTTACTAATGATGTAAAATAAGAAAGTTTCACCTTTCCTCTAGTAATGAAGCACAGAATATTGGACCTCAACAGCAAATGTAAATGTCTAACTTGATCTTGGTAATACTGTCGCAGTGTAAAAATTAAGAAGGATATATAATTTATGAAGGCATTATTGACCATGGCAGACTTGAAATGGATGATATTTTTTATCAAATTTGTTATTTGTACCTTTCTATAATTGCCAACAACAGGGCAGTCTGTGGTAGATGACGGGAAAAAATCTATGTATATTTTTACGTTTTCACCTTAATTCGCTATATTTGCTATATTGTTTTCACCTGAAGCTACGATGTCAGAATAACCTTGAAATGACCCCTTAAAACCATAGCCACTAAAGCCTCAAGTCCTAAGCAAATTAATAAATTTAGAAATTATAAACCAATATCATCTTTCTTTTAAAGTTGCAAATTCATAACATCGGCGGTTTGAATGTAATAGACTCAACATCGACTGTTTTAATGTAATAAACTCATAACAGCAACGTTCTTTTGAACATTTATTTTTTTCTCAAAAATGGCAGTAACATTAGTAGTAGTATTAGTAGGCATCCATCAGTCTCAGGAGACTATGGAGTTGCGCTCTGATGTCGGTCTGGAGTGGCCTCACCAGGGCGCAAAGCCAAGGTGGGTTGATTCGGGGGAGAAGCTGTTACCCAGGCAGCAGGTCCCCCCTCTCCACGGCGCTGAAAGTCTCCAATGGAAAGACATAGTTATTCCCATCCTCAAGGCTATTCTCGGCCTAGCTGCCGCCGTTCCCAAAGGCACATTCGTCAATTTTTTTAATACTGTAAAAATAATTATTGTATCAAATTGTTTTCAGTATAGTTATAAGATTGCAGGATACGTTAGCTTGGCTGTTTTGGTTCTAAAGTATTCGTATTTCAATCCAGTCTCAGGCTATGCCTTCCAAGCTTCGACCAACCAGAAAGATACATTTATATATTTTAATGTACTGTGTACATTTTCATTTTCTCATATATAAATTAATATTAAATTAGAATATTGTTTATAGGCCTAGATTAGGTTATATGTACAGGTTCTGTTGGCACTTATTTGCAGTGCGTGGGTGAAGCATTTAGAGGTGCGATGCCACAGGAGGTTGTGAATAAGCATTGTGAGAGAAGCATTTAAATGTCATTAGTTAACAGTTAGGCAGACCGTCCTCATTAACAAAGGTCAAATGCACGTTAATCCACCCGCCAACCCCCCAATCCCCCCCCCGTTTATGAATGAAACATTTTACACACGACTCACAACTGATGACGTTCGAATACCTCTCGAAACGTGCTTCTCTGACAATCTTTGTTCGAATTGTAACTGAAAATGTTTCATCCACGCACTTCAAATGCAAATAATTTCCAACAGAATCTAAACACCTAACTTATGGCTAACTATACATAGCACTCTAATAAGATTTATTATATAAGAAAAAATAATGTTAACGTACAGTTCTTTAACATTTATAAATGCACTCCCCCCCCCCACTGGGCTCAATATCTAATAGCGACGTTAATTCAAGGGTGATTCAGTGTTGAATTAAAGTTGATTATATGTTGAACCAACGCCACTCTTGGGTAGTGTGCCCACTGCGTTGGGGGGTCAGCCGACGCTTTAACGAGCCCAGCCTAAGGACAGGTTGGTCTAATATATATAAATACATAAGAAAAAACCTTTAATACATATTTCATTAAAATTGATGAATGCATCTTTGGGCTCAGCCGCCGCTTTAACGAGCCTAGTCTGAGGACAGGTTGGAGCCGTGTGAAATGTTTAATTCATAAACGGGGTTTGACGGTTAGATTATCGAGCATTTGGCAATTATTTATGTGGATGGGTTGTCGTATTTATACTATGTGGGTGAAGCATTTAAAGAGGTGTACTTTGAGCATAAGAATAAGATGTGAGCAAAGCTCAATTTTGCAAACAGTTTGAGCATAATCAGTTGTGTCTTGTGGCAAAGTGTTTTTAACACATAAGGAAGAAGGGGGTGGCTGCTGTATTAACGAGCAAATTGGTCATTGTTTTGAAGATGGTCTGAATCCTTAAAACAAATCGAACACTAGTGAACCTACTGTAACTTCACATCATTGATGCATTACAGCTAATGCGTATCATCGTCTGAGGATCGAGTGAGGCGGATCCCTCGCAGATGCTAACAAGGCAGATAAGAAAATTGTTTGAGCTCTGAGATGTGACTTAATCCCCTTCTCTTCTGTTTTCTGTTGACCGTCATGCGTCTCAGGATATCTCTTGGACGTTTTCATTGCCCTAATTCTCACGTGCCTTAGAGATGACGAGAAACAGACGACTCTAATTTGCATTCTTCACTTTGATGAATCCAGCTGTTTCGCGAATCCCCTCTTTGACTGTTTCGTTGATAATCTCATTGTTCCTCTGGGCAAATAACGTTGACCTAATAACTAATCAGTGTTGAAAACGTTAGTCCAGCAGTGATTTAACGTTGAGCCGACGTTCATTTAATGTTATTTTAGCATGTTTTGTTCTCTGGGTTACGTGGATCAGCTGGTTCGTGAATCCTCTTTCACGTGAGTCATGTTTATTCGTAACCTTTGGTGCATCTTTGGTACGAACCATCTCTCATTAATAATATATTTTGTTTTTTGCATATTTTATAGAGTTCATTTCAGAAATCTTCTAGTTCTTTATTTATTTGTTAATTACATCACTTGTTTCACTTTTAGCTTTCTTAATATAGTAGTTTTATGAAGCGTGCTTCGTAAATCTGAGTCATGTGTCGTGAATCATTAGGTTCATATGTTGCATTTTGAATATTTCGTTTACATGGTATAAAAAATTTATGAATGTTTTTAGTGAATATCATTCTTATAAACCATTTAATCTGTATTATTTAACAATAATTATTCACGAATTGCTTGGTTCGTAAATCATTTGTTTTCACGAGTCATCCATCTCGATCTGGTAAATGGATTTTCCATACAATCATACACTTGATGAATCTGCTAGATAACATAAATCTTCAAATGCCATACAAAACATTTGCATCAGGGTCAGTATTCATCAAGCACTATTAGTGTCCACTTACGAAACCTCTACATCTGTCCGAAATCATAGTGCCTTTATTTTCATTTATTTAAGAATTTAAGAGTTCTGAAGTGCTACAAGGTTCTTTATGACAATAATAATCATGGTTTGCGAAGTTTGGAAGCTTGTAAACTGTTTAATAAATGCAGATTAAGCCATCATGATTGCGGGAAGATATACAGGTTTCGCAAGTGGACACGTAAATATTTTACGAAATTTAGGCCGCGGCAGGACTCAACATGAATCTCTTAATGCATTTATTTACGAACCCATTGTTGGTTTCATGGACCCATTGTTTACTTTCTCACTGCGAAATTTAGGCTGCGGCAGGACTCAACATGAATCTCTTAATGCATTTGTTTACGAACCCATTGTTGGTTTCATGGACCAACATATGTTTACTTTCTCACTGCTAACAGTTGCATCGTTGTCACTCAATAATTTGATTCCTTCAGCAATAAATCTTAGCTCATTTCTTTCGACAGTTGATCGTTATATTACTAATAATGACACGTGTCTGAGCGGGACTTAACCCATATAACAGTGACAGTAGCAACAAGACCCCTTATATCTCTCTGGTATAAAGTTGTAAATGAAGTATCACAGGTATGTCTTGTAAGGATGTGTTGTGTACAGTGAATGTGTCAATAAACAGATCATAGAGTCTTCGTCTCTTATTTACGCTCCAACAACTATGATCAACTAACAGTTCAGACTATGTCCCGAGACTACAATTCCCAAGACTACAAGTCCCAGACTATGTCCCGAGACTATTTCCCAAGACTACAAGTCCCAGACTATGTCCCGAGACTATTTCCCGAGACTATAAGTCCCAGACTATGTCCGACTATCCTGCCCGAAACGCTGCGCGTACTAGTGGCTTTACAAGAATGTAATTACTATGCTATGTATCCTCACAATCCCAATATACCTTCTTGTATATAAATAAATAAATATGTCCTCTATTCACCCAGCAGTAAATAGGAACCCGAGAGTTATACATCTCTTGTGGGTTGTATCCTAAGATAGGTCTGTCATTGTTTGAGAACCACAAGGAGCCTAAGAGACTGTAGTCTCGGACTAGGAAAGCAAAATCATATAACTTCAGTGTGCTCCAGGCAGCTGACATTGATGAATGAGTAAAAAACGCTATTTATAATAATAAATAAATTACTCAAAGATATAAAATATATATATTCTCAATTAAACCAAATGTAACTTTCACATTTAAAGTCTTTCGATATCAAAGAGCGATGCTAATTGAACCAGAAATGCTGACAAAATTTGACTGACCCTTCTCTCAAAGCCGCATTTATTATTAATCGTTAAATTGTTATGTGCCATTATCATTTGCATAGATAACAAAATAGCATTAATAATTATTAATAGGGGAGTGGAAGAACTCCCAGAACCCCATCAACCAGGTATTATTAGTAGTAGCATTTGCATTTACATATACGCTCCGCCCACTGATGATATCACATGTGGTTCAGCACGACCTGTAGGACTTGCTGCCCCAACCCCACGCCCAACGCTGAGTCTAAACCCACGTCCAACGCTGGGTCAAATTCTTCCCACTCAACAAAATCAATAAAAATACACAGAATGTGGTTCAGAGTATTTTTATTGAACAACAATCCACTTTTGTGTATATATTCCAGTTAATATATACTGGAATTTTCCGAGAGATATTTTGAAGGATAACGTACATATTCTTATTTTATTCATAACAATATATAATATTTTTAGATTTTGTTGATATGTAATGGAAATAAATACCAAACCTTGTAAACAATGATAGTATTTTATTTGTCAATGTTCAAAAAAGATATTGTTTGTGTTCTAACAAATATCTAAACCAAGCTTCATTACAAATTCAAATAGCTTAATTATCTTCTCAGTAAGGCGTAAATAAGCACCTTGCAAGGGATCCACACTGTCTTGAAGCGACGCTAATTTATTACTTAGCATCAAGTTTAAGTAAGTTTATTTAGATAATAAAATACACCCAAAAAAGGATAGAGTAGCTTAGGCTATTTATACCCTCGGCATCACATCAGTGTAATATCATGATGACTGTCAGTGTTTTCCAGAGCAGCATCAACTCGGTCACTCATTGATGGTGTAGCCAACTCTCATAAGGAGCCTGCTGCTGTAACTTCACCAGTAAACTAGTAAACTTAAGTAAACTTAACCAAGCAAGGCTGTTACATAAGCAGTGTAGCTTTGCAATAAAGAAATGAAACCTTAATCAAATTCCATGCAAGTTTTCGATACACGAGGGGGACTAAATATATTCCCGAGACTCAAAATATAACATATGGTTTATGAGCCACACGGCAATATATATTTAACATGAACTAAGATTTTTAAACTGCCTTATTCTTGTATTGATGACTTGATCGCTGAGTAGACGCTCCACCTGGAGCGGACGTTCCCCCAATTGATGACGATGGGGTTTGAGAAGATCCCAAGTTGGAACCAGAGTTCAGTCCAGAGAGGAATCCGCTGGAAGAACTAAAGGAATCCAAGCTGGCGCCTGAGTTGAAGTTGAACTCGGGGATTGATCCAGAAAATACCTGATTTGATCCAGAAGCAGAGCCGAAATTGGATCGAGAGGCTGAACCAAGGTTAGAATTAGCAGAACCAATGTTAGAAACAAAAGATCTAGGAGATGAGCCAAACCCGAAACCTAACGATCCAATGCTACTTTCAGAAGCACTCACACTGTTAACTGATGATCCAACGTTAGATCTAGGAGTGTCAAAACTGGAATCTGTTGATCCACGAGTAGTTCCAGAAGAACCAAAACTGGAGCCTGAGGACCCATGACTATTTCTAGGAGAGCCAAAATTGGAACCTATTGATCCATGAGTAGTTCCAGAAGAGCCAAATTTGGAACCTGTTGATCCATGAATAGTTCCAGAGGAGCCAAACCTGGAATCTGTTAATCCATGAATAGTTCCAGAAGAACCAAAACTGGAACCAGTTGATCCATGAGTAGTTCCAGAAATGCCTAACCTGGAACCTGTTGATCCATGAGTAGTTCCAGAAATGCCTAACCTGGAACCTGTTGATCCATGAGTAGTTCCAGAAATGCCTAACCTGGAACCTGTTGATCCATGAGTAGTTCCAGAAATGCCTAACCTGGAACCTGTTGATCCATGAGTAGTTCCAGAAATGCCTAACCTGGAACCTGTTGATCCATGAGTAGTTCCAGAAATGCCTAACCTGTCCAAGTAGTTCCTGGAACCTGTTGATCCATGAGTAGTTCCAGAAGAGTCAAACCTGGAACCAGTTGATCCATGAATAGTTTCAGAAGAGTCAAACCTGGAGCCTGTTGATCCATGAGTAGTTCCAGAAGAGTCAAACCTGGAACCTGTTGATCCATGAGTAGTTCCAGAAGAGTCAAACCTGGAACCTGTTGATCCATGAGTAGTTCCAGAAGAGTCAAACCTGGAACCTGTTGATCCATGAATAGTTTCAGAAGAGTCAAACCTGGAGCCTGTTGATCCATGAGTAGTTCCAGAAGAGTCAAACCTGGAACCTGTTGATCCATGAATAGTTCCAGAAGAACCAAAACTGGAACCAGTTGATCCATGAGTAGTTCCAGAACCAAAACTGGAACCTGTTGATCCATGAGTAGTTCCAGAAGAGCCAAAACTGGAACCTGTTGATCCATGAGTAGTTCCAGAACCAAAACTGGAACCAGTTGATCCATGAATAGTTCCAGAAGAGCCAGACCTGGAACCTGTTGATCCATGAGTAGTTCCAGATGAGTCAAACCTGAAACCTGTTGATCCATGAGTAGTTCCAGAAGAGCCAAAACTGGAAGCTGTTGATCCACGAGTAGTTCCAGAAGAGCCAGACCTGGAACTTACTGATCCATGAATAGTTCCAGAACCAAAACTGGAACCTGTTGATCCATGAGTAGTTCCAGAAGAGCCAAAACTGGAACCTGTTGATCCATGAGTAGTTCCAGAACCAAAACTGGAACCTGTTGATCCATGAGTAGTTCCAGAAGAGCCAAAACTGGAACCTGTTGATCCATGAGTAGTTCCAGAAGAGCCAGACCTGGAACTTACTGATCCATGAATAGTTCCAGAACCAAAACTGGAACCTGTTGATCCATGAGTAGTTCCAGAAGAGCCAAAACTGGAACCTGTTGATCCATGAGTAGTTCCAGAACCAAAACTGGAACCTGTTGATCCATGAGTAGTTCCAGAAGAGCCAAAACTGGAACCTGTTGATCCATGAGTAGTTCCAGACGAGCCTAACCTGGAACCTATTGATCCATGAGTAGTTCCAGAAGAGCCAAAACTGGAACCTGTTGATCCATGAGTAGTTCCAGAACCAAAACTGGAACCAGTTGATCCATGAGTAGTTCCAGAAGAGTCAAACCTGGAACCAGTTGATCCATGAGTAGTTCCAGAAGAGCCAGACCTGGAACTTACTGATCCATGAGTAGTTCCAGAACCAAAACTGGAACCTGTTGATCCATGAGTAGTTCCAGAAGAGCCAGACCTGGAACTTACTGATCCATGAGTAGTTCCAGAACCAAAACTGGAACCAGTTGTTCCATGAGTAGTTCCGGAAGAGCCAGACCTGGAACTTACTGATCCATGAGTAGTTCCAGAACCAAAACTGGAACCAGTTGATCCATGAGTAGTTCCAGAAGAGCCAGACCTGGAACTTACTGATCCATGAGTAGTTCCAGAACCAAAACTGGAACCTGTTGATCCATGAGTAGTTCCAGAAGAGCCAAAACTGGAACCTGTTGATCCATGAGTTGTTCCAGAACCAAAACTGGAACCAGTTGATCCATGAGTAGTTCCAGAAGAACCAAAACTGGAACCAGTTGATCCATGAATAGTTCCAGAAGAGCCAGACCTGGAACCTGTTGATCCATGAGTAGTTCCAGAAGAGCCAAAACTGGAACCTGTTGATCCTTGAGTAGTTCCAGAAATGCCTAACCTGGAACCTGTTGATCCATGAGCAGTTCCAGAAGAGCCAAAACTGGAACCTGTTGATCCATGAGTAGTTCCAGAAGAGCCAAAACTGGAACCTGTTGATCCATGAGTAGTTCCAGAAGAGCCAAAACTGGAACCTGTTGATCCATGAGTAATTCCAGAAGAGCCAAAGCTAGGCACTGATGATCCAATGTCGGTTTCAGGAGACCTCAAAGAGGAACCAAGAGTAGTTCCAGAAGAGCTCAGACTGGAACCTGATGATTCAAGTGTAGTTCCAGAAGCTCCGAAACTGGAAGCTGATGAAGCAAGGTTAGTTTCAGAACCAAAATTGGAACTTGTTGACCCAACTGTAATTCCAGAAGAATCAACATTGGAACCTGATGATCCAAGGCTAGTTTCAGAAGTGGTAAAACTAGAACCTGTTGATACAAGGGCAGTTCTTGAAGAGCCAAAATTGGAACCTGATGATCCAAAGTTGAGTGGAGAAGAACCAAAACTGGAATCTGATGATTTAACATTTGGCTTAGAAGAGCCAAAAGTATAACTAGGAGTTCCAAACTCTGATTCAGTGGTAGAGTCTTGGTGAGGACCGAATGAGTGGATGTCACGTTCAGTGCTGGAACCAGATGTATACCCTAATTTAGATCCAGAAACACCAAAATTAGAACTAGAAGATTCAAAATTAGGTTCAAATTTGACAACAGAAGATCCAGCACTCGATCCAGAACCATGATTGGATCCCAGTGAAGACCCAGAGTTAATAGCATTAGTAAATCCTGGACTAAATCTGGAAGTCACAGAACTTGAACCAGAAAATTGTGAGCTTAATTTAGAAGATCCTACATTAGAACTTGGAGAACTAAGCTTGGAACCAGAAGACTCAATATTTGATCTAGGAGTGTCTAAATTAGAAGTATTAGAATCCAACTTGAAAGTAGAAGACCTTCCATTTGTTCCAGAGGAGCCAAAATTAGGACTGGAAGTGCTAATCCTGGAGCCAACAGAGTCTACACCTAATTCAGTTGAACCAATATTAAAATTGGAAAAATCACGCTTAGATTCAGAAAGCGCCGGTCCTGACTTATGAAACCCATCATTAGAGCTAGAACCAAAGTTTGATCCTGTGAAAGATATATAATTCGAATCAAAGGAATCTAAATTAGATCTTAAAGAATCAAAACTAGAATTGACAGAGTCGAAGTTAGATCCAGTGGATGACCTAAGGTTGGAAACTAAGGGGAACCCAGTATTAAATTTGGACAAGGCGAAACTGGACTGAGTAGAATCTATACTTGAACCTAAAGAACCAGAAGCAGTTAATCCAAAACTAGAATCCAAGGAGCCAAATTTAGATCCAGCAGATGCCCCGAAAACAGTACCAGACTGAACTAAATTCGGCCCAGTAGAACCAAAACTAGAACCTGACGAGACAAAACTGGATCCAGTGGCTGAGTCAGGCCTAGAGGAAGGTCTAAAATTAGATTCGCTGGAAGAGCCAGCACTCAAGCCAAAAGATTTAACGCCATGGTTTGAAGAAAGGTCAAAAGTAGAGCTAGAAGAAACTAAATTTGGTTCAGAGGAACCGAGCCTGGAATCAGAGGGATCAAAGTTAGATCCAGAAGACCCAAGTCCTGAAGCAAAAGACTCAATGTGACGTGCAGTTGAAGAATCAGAAAATCCAGAACTAGATTTCAAGGAAGGTATAAAACTACCACCGGACGAATCTTCACGTGAACCAGACGAACCAAAATTAGAGCCAGAAGCACCAGCTTTAAATCCTGTTGAAGAACCAGAAGAGGCAGCGTTAATTCCTGAGACAGAGGATTTCGAATCAGATCTCAATGAATGACCAGAACCAGTACTAAATGATCCTAAACCAAATCCAGAAGAACGAGAACTGGAACCGGAAGACCCAACAGAAGAGCCAAAATGGCCTAAGTTAGACCTTGAGGTGAAACCCAAATGAGACCCAGAAGAACCCTCGTGTGATACCGGAGAACCAAAACTAGAACCGGAGGAGCCAGAAAATCCAGAGTTAGATCTCAAGGAAGATTCAGTGTTGGCATTTGATAAGCCTAGACGGGATCTCGTAGAACTAGTAGAATCGGAAGAGTCAATCTTATCTCCAATAAAAGACCCGAAACTGGAGCCAGTGGAAGACCTAATACCGGTACCAGAGAAACCAATTTTAGAGCTAGAGGAATGACCAAGAGTGGAACTGGTTGGATTAATGGGCCTGGAACCAATAGAACCACCGTCATGTTTAGTGGTAGAACCAAACCTGGAAGGCGATCTAAAACTTGATCCTGAGGAAGAACCAAAACTGGTGCCTGAAGAGCCTTCGCTTTCTCCAAAGGATGAGCCAGAGTTGAATAAAGGAGCTGATTTCAATTTTATATTAGAGGTTGAAGATCGTATGAATGATTCAGAAACTCTAGAACGTGTAGATGAGTCACTGGACGTCCCGACTCCAGATGTCGGGGATATGTCGAACCTCTTGAAATCCTGTAATCCAGAAGCTAAACTGGAATCTGATTGGTACACTGCTTGCGGTGATGAACGACCCTTTACCTTCTGGTACAGGACTTCCGCTTTGAAGCCCGATTCGTCATCGACGCGATAATTCACTATTCTTAAGAGGTCGTCAGGCTGGAGAACGGAGTAGGAGCCAACTACAACACCATCTTTAAGAGATTCCTTTTGTGATTTCTGGTCACCTGTGTCAGCAGCGTTAACTTGGTACTGGTAGTCGAAAGACAAGGACGTATCTGTCTTGCTATGTTGCAATGGGCCTCTGCCAGGCAGGTACGCGTTCTTTGTTGCTTCTGACGCTGCTAAGACTGCAGATACAGCCAACACTAATACCTGGACAAACAAGAAAGCATTATTTCATAGTCCACTTAGTTGATTTATTTTGTCATCTATCGCTCTCTATTGGAAGCAATCCTTTTTGAAGACAAAATAGCCTCATGCGCTTAAAAAGTTCTATAAGAATAGACATCCCTGCACTGAACGTCATGACAATGTCTGCACACTCAATGCAGCACTGAATTCAAATAATGTTGTTTAAATCACATATCCTCTCACCTGGGATGCCACCATGATGAGGAAGACACAGGAAGTGTGAGGCTCAGAGAATGCAACTCGCCTTATATACCCGACGGCAGGAGCGCGGATCAGGTGTCCCCCGCCGGAGCCTAGTGTCTGGTGTTGGTGCAAGTGATGGTGTATGCGAAAGTAAAAACAAGTGAACGCTTCATCCGGTTATGTATAGCAACTTGATATTGTCATGACTGGCCTGCAGAACAAGCAAATGTATATACAAAAAGGTACGAATAAATGAAATTTCAGAAGGTCTGTTGACCCACACAAGGCAGCCCCTGCATTCATATCCGCCCAAACTCATTCATATATATGTCTAACCTACGCTTGAAACAATCCAGTGACCCACGTTACCCAGTAACTTGATCCGTAAATCAACAACCCTATTTCCAAACCAATTTTTACCTACGTGTTTCCTAAATTTAAATATATCAGAATATATCATTAATATATACGAATTCAGTGTTATTAATCCGGCGTTTACTGTATACCACAGTTTACTTATCGGATTGTATTCTAAGTATATTGGTTAATACTTAATGCAATACGAGGTTCCTTTATTAAAATTGAATAAGTTCATATATTTATTAAGAATACAAGTTCAAATACCCCTATTTCTCTTTCTTTCTCTTTACTCTTTCCTGCACCTCTCTCTCTCTCTCTCTCTCTCTCTCTCTCTCTCTCTCTCTCTCTCTCTCTCTCTCTCTCTCTCTCTCTCTCTCTCTCTCTCTCTCTCTCTCTCTCTCTCTCTCTCTCTCTCTCTCTCTCTCTCTCTCTCCCTGCCCCACTCTCTCTCTCTCTTTCTCCCTCTCCCTGCCCCACTCTCTCTCTCTCTTTCTCCCTCTCCCTGCCTCTCTCTCTCTCCCTCTCCCTGCCTCTCTCTCCCTCTCCCTGCCTCTCTCTCTCTCCCTGCCTCTCTCTTGCCCTGTTACCCCCTCTCTCTTTCCCTCCTTACCTGAGTGCCACTAACGCTATTGTTCCCTCCATACCTTACTTTCTTACCTCTCTTTCATTCTCCTCTGCCCCCTATCTCTCCCCCGTTCCTGCCTCACTCCCTCCCTCCCTAGTGATTCATCTGATTACGTTCAAGCGTGCCTGACTTTCCCGCGCGTCATAAGCCTCTGCAGGTGCGGGTCTGCGCACGCGCTCAATATCGACTCTCCCCTCAGCTGCCAGACAAAGGTAAACATTCACAAATTTCTTATTTATATATTTTTAATTACTTTTGATGCCGTATATGCTTCAGGAAAAATTATGAAACTCTTTTGGAATCAACTTTAATAAAGAAAACATGCGTACGTGATGATATTGCGTGCTTCTTTCCAATGCTTAATCTTTGCTGTATTTATGCTTTTTTACCCAATATTTAGAATCGAAATTTGTTTTTAAGTTTTACAATCCGTGTCAATAGGCCACTAAATTAATCATTTGTAGGAAAGGCATAATGAGGGGAGGATCAGGTTGATGTAACGGACTAGTTGGTAACTGCCTTCAGTCCGGCCGCAGACTCCAGTCGCTTCACAACTCCTCCAATGTGAAAATGGCGCAAGTCAGGTCTCCATGGGTACATCTGACATTATGTGTGTTGTGTGCGTGCGTGTGCATCGTGTGTGTGCAGGCGGACACCCGCAGTGACAGAGCGAACCCTGAAACCCTCCCCGATCTCCAGGCGATCGCAGAGCTCAATGAGTCTATCACCCTCAAAAAACATAGCCCCAAACCTATGCACACGACTGATGGCTTGGAGGAGGAGGAGGAGGAAGAGCAGCCTCAAGGGCCAGAGAGCCCGTCATATCCTAGCAAGGCGAGAAAAGAGTGGCCAGGCGGCCTTAGCAGCCAGAGTGATGTGGCGGCGGCTTCGCCTGTCAAGGAGACAGCCAGTAAGAGGAATATCAGTAGCCTGGGCCGCGGTGTGACGGCCCAGGAGCTAAAGTCCGCCACCTCCCTGGCGGGGAACCTGCTGCTGCTGCTTATATCTGTGGTCATCGCTGGCTCCCTCTTCGTCATGCTTCTCTGCTTCATTCACAAGTGGAAGGAGAACATGGGCACAGCGTAAGTGTATTAGGCTCTAATATCCACAGCGTCAGTGTATTATGCTCCCATATCCATAGCGTAAGTGTATTAGGCACTAATATCCACAGCGTAAGTGTATTAGGCTCTAATATCCACAGCGTCAGTGTATTAGGCTCCCATATCCATAGCGTAAGTGTATTAGGCACTAATATCCACAGCGTAAGTGTATTAGGCTCTAATATCCACAGCATAAGTGTATTATGCTCCCATATCCACAGCGTAAGTGTATTATGCTCCCATATCCACAGCGTAAGTGTATTAGGCTCCCATATCCACAGCGTAAGTGTATTAGGCTCTAATATCCACAGCGTAAGTGTATTATGCTCCCATATCCACAGCGTAAGTGTATTAGGCTCACATATCCACAGCGTAAGTGTATTATGCTCCCATATCCACAGCGTAAGTGTATTATGCTCCCATATCCACAGCGTAAGTGTATTATGCTCCCATATCCACAGCGTAAGTGTATTAGGCTCCCATATCCACAGCGTAAGTGTATTATGCTCCCATATCCACAGCGTAAGTGTATTATGCTCCCATATCCACAGCGTAAGTGTATTAGGCTCCCATATCCACAGCGTAAGTGTATTAGGCTCTAATATCCACAGCGTAAGTGTATTATGCTCCCATATCCACAGCGTAAGTGTATTAGGCTCACATATCCACAGCGTAAGTGTATTATGCTCCCATATCCACAGCGTAAGTGTATTATGCTCCCATATCCACAGCGTAAGTGTATTATGCTCCCATATCCACAGCGTAAGTGTATTAGGCTCCCATATCCACAGCGTAAGTGTATTAGGCTCCCATATCCACAGCGTAAGTGTATTAGGCTCTAATATCCACAGCGTAAGTGTATTAGGCTCTAATATCCACAGCGTAAGTGTACAAGACTCATATATTCACAGCGTAAGTGTACAAGACTCATATATTCACAGCGTAAGTGTACAAGGCTCATATATTCACAGCGTAAGTGTACAAGGCTCATATATTCACAGCGTAAGTGTACAAGGCTCATATATTCACAGAGTAAGTGTACAAGACTCATATATTCACAGCGTAAGTGTACAAGACTCATATATTCACAGCGTAAGTGCACAAGGCTCATATATTCACAGCGTAAGTGTACAAGGCTCATATATTCACAGCATAAGTGTACAAGGCTCATATATTCACAGCGTAAGTGTACAAGACTCATATATTCACAGCGTAAGTGTACAAGGCTCATATATTCACAGCGTAAGTGTACAAGACTCATATATTCACAGCGTAAGTGTACAAGGCTCATATATTCACAGCGTAAGTGTACAAGACTCATATATTCACAGCGTAAGTGTACAAGGCTCATATATTCACAGCGTGAGGTGTAGCGTGTTGTGGCAAACAATTGTCCCATTAGGCATAATAAATGTCACAAAAGATTTAATTACGTAATACTTCGCTTGAACAATCGAGGACCGAATACCGACCAGCCAGAAGCGAAGCTGTCCTTGTACCAGCCACTACTCCTAGTGAATGGGGGCTCTCGTAAAAAAAGAAGAGACCAGCAGTATTAAATTAATACTCGTTGTTATTATAGATTCAGCTATTCGGAACAAGTTCCAAGTAGCACGGGCTATGGTGAGCCCGTAGTGGACTTACCTGGCACAGGAGCGGTGCCGTCTGACTGATTAATACTCGTGGAATATTTGTTATTATATATCGATTAGGTGAGGTGAGGTTAGGTTAGGGTAGGTTAGATTAAGTCTCTCCCTTCCTGCGCTTATAATTACGTCAGTGTGTGTGTGTGTGTGTGTGTGTGTGTGTGTGTGTGTGTGTGTGTGTGTGTGTGTGTGTGTGTGTGTGTGTGTGTGTGTGTGTGTGTATTCACCTAGTTGTATTCACTTAGTTGTGCTTGCGGGGGTTGAGCTCTGGCTCTTTGGTCCCACCTCTCAACTGTCAATCAACTGGTGTACAGGTTCCTGAGCCTACTGGGCTCTATCATATCTTCATATGAAACTGTGTATGGAGTCAGCCTCCATCACATCACTGCCTAATGCATTCTACATGTTAACTACTCTGACACTGAAAAAGTTCTTCCTAACGTCCCTGTGGCTCATACGGGTACTCAATCTTCACCTGTGTCCCCTTGTTCGCGTACCACCCATGTATGTGTGTGTGTGTGTGTGTGTGTGTGTGTGTGTGTGTGTGTGTGTGTGTGTGTGTGTGTGTGTGTGTGTGTGTGTGTGTGTGTATACACCTCGCAGTGTATATGCCCCGAGGCTCACTGATTTCCTTGCTAATACCAACAAAGGCGAGTGGGTGTGGCTCATCCTACTGGCTGCTCAGTTACTACTTACACCCACAAACATAACACTGCCACTTACACCCACAAACATAACACTGCCACTTACACCCATGAACATTAACACAAGTGTTTTCGACTTCTTTAAATGTTCCTCACAATAATTATAAATTGATGAACGGTTTCAACAACATTATTGGAATCATATTAATGTTTGTCTGAATATGACAGGGTGCTAAGTGAAAAGGGCTATACCTGAGAGTGAGGGGTTATACTGAAAGTGAGGGGTACTACCTGACTGTGAGGGGCTATACACGATAGAGGGTAATTCTAACAGCATTTGACAGGATTGTATATAGCTAGTTAAAAATTATGTATTACACATCTAGCTGATAGATTTGTCCGGTCGTCGACCAGGCCTCCTTTTTGTTACACACCCCCAGGAAGCAGCCCGTAGCAGCTGTCTAACTCCCATGTACCTATTTACTGCTAGGTGAACAGGGGGCAAGAAACTCTGTCTATTTGTTTCCGCCGGGGATCGAACCCGGAACCTTATGACTACGAATCGTGAGCGCTGTCCACTCAGCTGTCAGGATCCTGTCCGACTGAGGGTCGAACATATCTTGCTGAGGGTTAAACACACAGATCAATACAGTGATATGACCAACACCACAAAGTGATGTGTTGTGTAAGCCCCTGGTCGATACCTGCTTGTCAGCCACTGATGTCTGTCTTCCCTTCACTATACCTTGACATCACCAACGCCCTCGCTCCAGCGGTAACTCCTTCACTCTGCTGCGTCAATCATTCTCTCCCTCTGCTATATCAACCACTTCCTCTGCTTAACCAACTTTATTCAAGTTCGTTTATTGAGACAATAAGATACATCTCAAAAGGATAGAATAGCTTAGGCTATTTCAACCCTCCAATACCAACTCTATTTGTTTTAACTATGTCTCCGGGGAGTGCGATCTGACTCCAGGGCTCCGCTTCATACCTGGTGTTTACAAGCACAAGTCGTGGAAGCTATCATCGAGTGCTCCATTTATTTAAGACCTGCACTGAATACCAGTATTTCCACACATTTACTCTCAATGAGAAATTGTTTTTCAGTCAATTTCTCTCTTATTAAAATCACCAAAGACTATGATCTTTGCTTTCATTCCACTTGGCTTCTGTTGCTGGCCTCCTCGTGATCTTCAGACAGTTTGTACTGCTTGCGAAATACTCCCTGGCTGTCAGAGGAGGTTGGGCATCGTTCCTTCACTCCGTCATCATATCCCAGTGTTTTTTTTTATTATTATTATTATTTTCTACCACAGACGTGGCCAGACATTTACAATGCTAACCAGCATATATACATTTTCTTCTGTCCTCCATGGACAGGGTGAAAGATTTGTCAAACATACAGTTCAGAGATTTATTGAACAACCACAGAAGGTGATCGTAGCGCTTTTAAAATGTTAGGCTAAGCTACATACGTAAATACATAGATACACAGATTTATGAATGCATTAATGTGAATTTATAATGGTGAAATGCAATTCTGATCAGCTTTATACTTTATACACACATACACACACACACACACATACATACATACATATATACACATACACTGATACGGCCATATTAGCTGGCACTTTCTTTACATAATTGTCTTACCTTATCATCATATTCTTTCCTTAGCCTCATGCTGTTTGGGGGGGAGGAGGGGATGGAGGTTTGTATATGACTGCTTCCGCTATATTCTTGTCATTTATTATCATGATTATGATGAAATCTTATAAGTTGGCCACATATGCCACAAAACGTTACATCTGAATCATCAGTGCTATTCTATTTCCACTCCTATTGCTTCTCTCTCTTTCCTAATCACTCCATAGCCTACTGTAAACGCTGCATTCATTATTATCTCCGCGAGTTTCATTTATTGCAATATGCGTAACTATTTTATGTACCCTCTTAAAGTTCCCATAATTTATTGGCCATGCCATCTGCAGTTGTATACATATGCAGGCGAGGAGTCACAATAACGTGGCTAAAGTATGTTGACCAGACCACAAACTAGAATGTGAAGGGACGACGACGTATCGGTCCGTCCTGGACCGATACGTCGGTCAAGTCGATTGTGATCGACAATCGACTTGAGAATGGTCCAGGACGGACCGAAACGTCGTCGTCCCTTCACTTTCTAGTGTGTGGTCTGGTCAACAGATGTATACATAATTCTCATGCTGCTGATTACTACTGTAAGGTTGTGCGAGGAAGATGGCATAAGCTTGGGCTTGAAGAGGCGAGAGATAACGTGACACCTTGAAGACATTCCAGTTTATTACACTGTGGCAGAGGGTTCTCATCCCAAGTTATGTATACTCCTAAGGATACATGAGGGAAGAATACTGGTGTTTTTGGAGTTTGTACAAAACTTATTTGTAAAAAAAGCATGTGGTACTACCTGGGTATGCATACCTCTGGGGCCTGTGGGTGCATCTGCCCCCCAAATTGAGAACCTCTTCAATTGGGGTTAGTTATTTTTTGTGAGTGAGATGGGGTTTGTTTACTGCTGAACGTGTGCTACTGGGTAGTGCTATATGGTTGTGATGGGGTGTTTATATGATGCTGAATGGGTGTCGATGGGGTGCTTGCTGTTCTGAATTTGCGTAATAAACATGCCACCTTCTACCGATCACAA